TGATAAGCCTGGTTCATTTTTCATTTCTCCTGGTAGATAGTTAAGTGTGGAAATGTATAAAAATAATCTCCCTGTTGGCCCTGCACTGCACAGGAGCCTCTGCTGCTGGCAAGGATGGTTAGCAGTGGCTGAGAAGGGAAAAGACCAAGCATGTTGGAAATTAAGCTGATGTGGGCAGACTCCATGAGGGTTGCTCTGAATGCCAAAGCTGATGGCCCAAGCAAACTAATATAATGTAAGTTCTCCTAGTAACCACCATTCACTCTGAGATCACTAATGAGGGAGCTTCAGGAAGGGGAATGAAGCATTTGTGTATAGGACATGGAGGGAACGAGGCTTTCCCTGAGCTTTACATGGTGAGAAGGTGTGATGAAGTTGTGCTAGAAAAACTGGTGATGGCATAGGGGACACCTGTCTTAGCATTTTAGTTTGATTTGGGAGTGTGATTTCAAAGCAAATCTCCCAGTTATTGCTGTTCACCCCACTTTGGTCCTTGTGGTGCATAGAGCACAGGCTGCATCGCTTAGGGGTATGCTTGTGCTCCAGGTGTGCACCTACTGCACGCCAGGACTAATGGGCTGGGCTGGTTCAGAGTACTCTGTGCCCTGAAATGCATACAGTGTGTATGCTGGGTCCTCAACAGCCCCTGTTTTATTCTCCAGATCCACTCCTACTCAGCCACACTGACTGCTAATGTAGACAAGCTGGAGAGGCAAGGGAAAAAGAGTTTCTAGATATCAGGGAGCAGTTAGGAGCCTGAATAAATTACTCTTTGCAGGGCAGACAATTATCTATTGTAATTGCAAAGCTAGGGATTATGAAACAGCTCAAATCACTGATACCTTTCCAACTTCCACGGGAAGTTCTTAAACCAAAATTGTAGTAAAGAGTTGTGTGCTTCCAGTGCTTAAGTCAAATAAAGGCTTAGTGAGGGCAGGTGCAATTCCCATTCACATCAAATGCAGTGGCACCTAGTTAACACTAGGAATGAATTTCAATAGCTGTCTTTTTGCTGCCTCCTGGTTTCTGGTTATAGCAGCTAAAGAGTTGTAGTGTAGGGGAATTAGGAGCAGAGGAGGTGCTGATAAGCTGTGGTTGATCAGAGCTTCCTGATCCCTTGAAGCTTGAACATTCAGTAACTCAGGGGAAGATGGAGATTGTGCTGGCAGATACTGAAAAAAAAAAAAAAGGTTAATCAAGCTCTGAGGTTGAGCTATTGCACTTATCTCTACCTTGCCTGTGGAGTTAGTATGTGCAGTCACTGAGAGCCTGTGTGACTGATAAAATGCTTTTAACTAGACACAAACTTTTTTCTCTAACTCTAATTTCAAACCACAGGAACATACTGGATCTGATATCAAGGGTTCATGTTTCTGAAGTGTCAATGTTATGAAGTATCGTGATGCTATCACAAGTCTGGAAATACTCTTGTGCTTGTGGGAATTTTATTTTTATTTAAATAAAAGCTAATTTGTAGCCTTCCTTGCAAAGAAAATGTGAAAGGCTTAAGAGATTTACCTCAAATATGTTTCTTAAAGCCTTTTTGTGCTTGGTTTAGGGGTTTTTTTTCAGTCCCAATTCACGGTTTTTCACTTAAGTGTTGAAGTAAGTATTGAGTACAGAACAACCCTAGTCACAGGTGTTTCCAAAGTTTGGTAGTGTTTCTTCCTGAGATTTAACTTTGGACTCATTCACTCTGCAAAAGTAAATTATAAATAGTAAAATGTGCATATTTTCCTCTCTGTTGAAAGAGCTGATTCCTACCTCAGGTGAATGCTATAGCAGCTCTGTTAGGAGCCAGTGGCATCACAACTGCATTAAATCAGTTTATGGCAGATCAAAATCAGGCATATATTAAATGCCTGTATTTAATACATTTGAAATCTTCTAATAAAAGAATAGAGCTAGGCCATAGCAAACTTCAGAATGAGGAGATGGTGATGATTTAAGTAAGGGAGATGATACTCACTTGACTGCAGCATAATAATCGCTTAAGCTTTTATGGTTTTACAATTTATACTATCTGCACAACAACCCTTGCCGTTGCTTGGGCCAGCTTTTCCTGAGTCAACAATCACATACCAGTACCCTATTTCAAATTGTCTCATGGGTCTAGTATGAGAAAGGAAAGTTGGATCAGATTTTAAAACCTGATGCCAATCTTCTAGTGCCCTGTATACGCACACGTATGCAAGATGGGTGTAAAACACTCTGATCTGAGAGGTACTTTTTAACAGTACTGAGCAAAGTGTATAATTAGCTGTGCAAAATGCTAAACATTGCCTGTGTTCTGCATTTTTGCATAGTCACTTCTGTACGCATATAACCTATTTGGCATATAATAGCTGCAGACTTTCACTGGTGTTTTAGGTATGCAATGCAAGCTAAACATGTAGGTGTCTTCTAGCCTGAATGCAAATGAGTATGAAATCTGCACGTGGGTAACAACAAGCATTCCCACCTTGTCTGGAAATTATTTAACCACATTAACACAGGACAGTGGTCAGGGAATCTCAGAGAGGACGATTAGCTTGTGCAGAGATGTCTGCCAAATCTGTGAATGTAACTTGATCAACTCATTCTTGAATATGTGTCCTGCTCTGAACATTGTGGTTGGAGGTGCACGACGTATGCACAGTTTGCATGCTTACCTTAGTGTGTATGCATATGTTTGAACATGCATAGTCTGAATGCTGGACTACCCTTTGGAAAACTGTTCACTTTTCTGCCTGGGGGAGGAAAGGCTGTTGTTACATCCCTTGACTAGCAAATGACCGTGCACAGGAGAATGGGATAAGGATAGTAAATGCAGAGCTCCTTAAAATATACTGCATACATTGTCCAAACTGGCAGGACAGTTGTTTCATGATAAAACAAATACTGTCTTGCACAGCGTAGTCTTCTTTCTGTGGCAGAAGCAGCGTTTGAAATTTAATTAACTTCATGTGGCACTGTAGAAATGGATGGCAAATCAATAATGAATGCCATTTCAGTCACCTTGTGGTGTTGTAATTCTCTGTGTTTTGCTACGCTAATTAGGTCTGACTTCAGTGAGAAGCATTTCAGGAGCAAGGGGGTGAATTATTGCTGAGTTCCTGCCTGTCACTGGGGAGATGAAGTAATTTCAGTACTGAGTAACCTCAGGGATTTCAGGAGCCAGTGACTTAACATCCAAGCAGAAGAGGGAAGATCTCACATTTTGTTGGTGCAGTTGTACAGTGAGTTTTGGGCTCTGCTAGTCCATGACTTAGGCTTCAGCTGAAAGAGCTTCAGCAACCAGAAAGTGCTCTTACCTTGTAGTTGGCATTTAATGACTTAATTGCTTTTGTTTACATATGCCCCCAGAGACTGAGAGGTTTTGGCAAACAGGTGAGTATATTTCCTTCATTTGGATCTGAGGCTCCTCCCATGAACCCAGAGAGAGTCGTGCATGTGGGATGGGCCCCTGGCTCTCATTCCACCCCACTCCCAAACTCACTGTGGAGAAACAGCTCACGGAGCAGAAAGGGGTTTGCTTCCATGTAGCAAACCCAAACACTGTTAACCAGAGGCAATGGCAGCTCTTTGCCTGTTTTTTGGACTTGGGGAGTATTGTGAAACATGGGGAAGAGAGCTGGAGTGTCTCCCCTCTCCAAAAACCAGCTGTTTTGTGTCTGAAGGTGGGAGAGGCTTACCCCCAGGATGCTTTGAGGCTCCTCTCCAACAGTGTGCTTTCAGCTGCGTCATAAGGAAATTGGGTGGATCAGGAATGGAATCTAGAGCGAACAAGTGCTCTGAGGCCACTAAGTCAGTGTGACAGACCAGTGCCATGCTTTTTTGGGAAAGTATGTGAACTCCTTCCCTTTATATTCGTGTGAATTATGATTCCCAATGATCATTCCTTCTAACATAAACAGTTTCTAATATAAACCAAAAACCACAGACAGCCTGAGGGGCATGGAAAATTTCAGTTGTTACACCACATTCGCCCAGAGAATTGCATCAATGATAGAAATGATTTTGCAGTAGTTGGAATAATGCTGAGTGAAAGGTGATACAGAGGTATTACACTTCAGAGATAGCGAACAAGAAGTGGATGCAAAGCTGGCTTTGCTTTTGCCCAGGCTCTACTTGTGCGCCATTGGAGTTGACAAACCTGGAAAATTGTGTAGCTGATATCCTGATAGCTTGTGTGCCTCATCTAGCACCTTTCTCAACATTATATAAGATTTTGGAGGGGGGAAGGATGAGAAGAGGTCTGATAAGGTACAAGACAGTTTACAGGTAAAGAGTTGGAGTTAATAAATTTAAGTTAATAATGCCTTATTGTGGTGCTTAATAGTCTGACACAATCAATCACACAATACAATATCAATACACAATACAATATACAAGAATATATGTGAATGTGTTTTAACTACTATTAATTAATGCATTAACTATCAATTGGCTAGTAAATTATACTGTTACTGCTCCTTAGCCTTCTTTCCTTTAAAAAATAAAATAAACCAAGAATTTCTCAGTCAAAACTGCCTATAATCTCTGTTTCTGCCATCTTCAAGAAATTTAAGTATATCAAATATATTTACTGAATTCACTCCTCTTGTACTGCCATTTAACAGCTGTTCCTGAAATGGCTTTATAGGCTGCTTAAGGACCATGCAAGGATGAATAATACTCCCAGGCTTGAATACAAAGGATATATTCTCCAGTGCATATTCTCTGCAGTACATCTTTGCTGTCATACCTGAAAGAAAAGGCCAATAGAATCATTTATTAGGGCTATCAAGTTTATTTTCTATCCAAAAGCATATGTAGAATAGTTTATATTCTGATTGAGATCTGTTTTCTTTGCTCTGAAATTGCTGGTTAAATTCTAAAGTCAATTTTATTGTTCAGGTGGTTCAAGGTCTACAAGCGGCTCCCAGGTTCACTTGTCAACAGCAGACCCCAAAACCAGGAGCCTTGCCTTGCTGTTGAAGAGGAAAAGACAGTAATTGTAACTGGCTTATTTGTTGCAGTTGCAGAAACTGAAACGATCACTCTCCTTCAAGACCAAAAGCTTGCGGAGTAAAAGTGCAGACAATTTCTTCCAGAGGACTAATAGCGATGTGAAACTGCAAGTAGACTTGATGCCTGAGGTGAGCACAAGCACTGGGCAGCTCCCCAGCTCAGAGAGCCAGGCGTCCTCCCCCACCAGAGCCCAGCAGCTGCCAGAAAACAACAAGGCTCACATCTTCCAGGAGCACATCTTCAAAAAACCCACCTTCTGCGATGTCTGCAACCACATGATTGTTGGTAAGAAATGATTTTTTAAATCTCTGTGAGCATCTGTGCTAGAACTTGCAGGATGACCTTTCCATAACTTATGTGAGTCCAGATGTCTACTTGAGAATATTCATGCGGAAAGGATCTGGACTTATGTCACATCTGCCACAGGCTAATACAAGTTCTATATTTCTTGACAGATCTCTTGCCTTCTAGACACATACTGTTATCACAAATTACAGGTGAGGGTTTCAGCTAGAGTCAAATTCCTCTCTCGTTGAGGCTATACTGATTACCAAGCACAAACTCTGTTGTATGTTACACTACAAACAGCAGAAATCCGTCTTGCAAATTTGCATCTGCTATCCTTACTCTTTTCCGCAATAGTAATTTTAACTCTCTTGCTTCTTGTGTCTGCCCCTAGTTCCTATTCACTGTGGCAACCATGCCTACTTGCTCCAGCTGCCTTACATCTCTCCTAAGTGACAATTGGGCAAGCAGTAGCATCTGCTGGGTGGTAGGCTCTGAGCTGCTTGTGTGTGCATGTCAGCTGGCTAGGACACACGTTTTGGGACAACAGGTCAACAGAACAAGTAGCTGAATTCACACTGCAAACTTTCTTGGGATTCTTCTACCTGATCCCTGCTACTCACAAAACCTCACACGAACTTTATACCTTTGAAAGATCACCTTGTCTTCTCTCTGAAACTGTTCATGGGTATGTAAGTTACTGCCAAGGGCTAACTGACAGACAGACATATTGGACAGAGCTAATAATTTATTATTCTCTTCAGCGTACGGAGAATAACTCCATACTGAGCCCTGCTTGTAAGGTAATTTTCAATGCAGTGTGAAGGCCTAAAAAGCCAGCCTTCGTGCTGAAGACTATCTATGGGGCTGTGCAAAGAGAGGTCAGGAAAGAAGTGGTGGCAGGTGGCTGGAGGTGTAAAACATGCATGGTCACCATTATGGGAAGCTGCAGGAGTTGCTATTCAGAAGTCTGGTCCTAGAAATTCACATTATTGTGACTAGTTTGTTATGCATATGATTTGGTGTTCTTGTTCCACATAAGGGTGCTCAGTGTCCCCCCCCTTGTGCGGGGAACTTGCATTCTTTGGAAACAGCAGCTGTCTGCAGAACACTGATGCAAGAGTATCCTGCTTCCATAAATTGAAGAATTAAACACATGAGGCCTGATTTCATCCTCTCACCACCACAGTTCTATTGAATCCAGGGAAAAGGAGTTTTGATCCTAGATTTTTTGTGTTATTTTCCAGTCTTTTAAGATTTTTTCTATTTGAAGTGGTAGAACGAGTCAAAGGGAGAAAGAGTAAAGCATCAATATCAGGGAAGGTCATAGTCCAGAGATTGAAAGGAAGCCTGGAAAATAAGCAGTTGAAATAACTTTATGTATGGAAACAGGCCCAGAACTTGTCTCCTGTAATGTGGATGGACGTTCTATCAAAGCTTAGTTTCACAAATATATACTGCAAATATAAGTCCTTCACATTTCTGGCTGCTTCTCATGAAGTTGTATGGAGATTAGTATCATCACAAATCTGCACAACTCAGCAATACCGTTTCAAAACACTACTGCTCAAGACAGATTATTACTGGCAGCAAACTTTGCAGGGAGTAACTCCAGTTCATAAACACCCATGCCCTTCTCCTTTGCTGGGCAATCTGTGTCCCGCCTGGGATGGGAAAGTCCTGAAGCATAGCTATAAACTTCAAAACATCAGCTTTAACCCCACCTGCCTTCTGAACTTCTAATGTTCTTTTCTATCCTCTGAGGGCTTCCCTTTTCTCTTCTGTATCTGAGCCACTTGAAGCCTTTCATAATTGCTGAAGAAGCTAATGCGACCTATTTTGTCTGGCGGCAGGCTGTCGGGTGAATTTCTCTGACCTCCTCCAGCTCATCTTTGCTAGGATGTATGGCAGAAAAGATGTTTAGAGTTTTACCTTATAATACCTTAGAGTCTAGATGCCCTGATTCTCATAGGCAGACATCTACTCTATTGCTGTAATCCTCTGTCTTTGATCCTTACTGCAGTCATGCCTGGTTTCGCTGTATTGTATTTTAAGCAGCATGGAGATCTGGATGTTACTGTTTGCAGCTCAATTAATCCATATAAGTTGTGCAGCTGTTGGTTATGGGGATGGTGAAGTGAAACGGGCAGCTTTTCAGGAAATTGTGTCAAGCTTGCTCCCAAAGGCAGACTGAAAAAAAATTCACTTCTGTGCAGGGACTCTGAATTTACACTTGCAACATGGAGCCTATTTGTTCTCTCTATTTGCATTTTTCACAGACAGTGACATTTGAGAGTAATACGTCTATGGCTTTAAATTCCTTATTGATGAGAATAAAGGCAAAGACAGATACATGTTTTGAAGACTGGGGGAAAGAGTCCAGGAAAATCCCGGCTTGACTTTAGATGGTTTCAATTTTGCCACCAAGAATGATTCCAGGTTCACCTTAAATGGCTCTCTGATCTATGAACTAAGCAGCTCTGTTTGGTACAGGGCGGCATGATGAACTGTGCATAGCATGAACGTGCAGTACACACTAGCACGGCAGAATTGGTCTGTAGCTTCCGAGTGAACGGGACGCTTGGAGCAGAGGCAGTAGACTCCCTGTGCTGCTCTTTTCACAGCAAAATTAAAGCAAAGGAACGTGAAACATTATCTTCCTACAAAAAATATGTGCATCATCTCTCCTTGATTGTTAGGCACTATGAGCCAAATGTTGCCTTTGGGATGCAGCACGTGTGCCTGTTTGTTCATTTGACAGAAGTACAGTCATAAGATAAAGGCCAAATACATGTACTTGGTTTCAGAATTCAGAGGAAGATGTTTACTGGGATCAATATAATGCAAACTTACTAATTCAAATGCTTTTTATACATCCCAGAGTGCAGTGCAACATATTCAAAAGAAACTCTGTTTATTGGTTCGATTACAAAAAAGGAAAATCAGTATTAATAGTGTGCTTCATACCTCACATTAAAGAGAGGAGTTGACGTGTTCTTACTAACTGTACTAGACTGGGGCTGAAGTTCCATCTCGGTAAACAGCAGGAAATTTGATATTGAAGCAGTAGTTTTCTGCCAAGTGAAATAAGGGAGAAAATTTCAGATTCAAGGGAGCTCTGAGGAGTGCACAGAGGATCCATTTTACGTTAATGGGGTGTTCTTGAAGCATGAAGTACTCCAATACAATTGTCAGTTCTCGTACTGAAGTCAACAGTAATAATTCATGTAACTTCAGAGCAAATCAATAGTTTGTTGGAGCAGACTCTGTACTCCTTTCTGCTACTCACTGTTCTGCTGCTGTGAGGTCCAGGTGTTGGTTAGTTTAGGACTGAGGTTTCAGGTCCATGGCGGGTTACATGTTTTCCTAAATATATCCACCCATGAACATCCTCTCACAGTATGACTCTTAGAAACCTGGTCATTTGCTGTTCTTACTAGTAGTATTTATTACTATTTTAATATCTAAGATCAGCAAGGGAAAATTTTGAAAATTAAAGTATCTTGTGGAATGTATCACTAGATCATTATTTAAAAGACACTGGTTTGTTTATTTTATATCACTGTGAAATAAGATCAAATCAGAACACCTATCAGTTTGCTTTGTGTTATCTACCACTTGCTGTGTTTAGCAAGAATGGGGTAAGCTTTGGTAATGACCAATAAGGGGAGGAAAAACTGCCTGGCACTGGCAAAGATAGAAACTATTAATGTTGCATCAGATTAGAGTCTTAAACTATGCTGATCAGAAGCAAGTTCTTGCTCTTCTTCAGTCTGTGATGTGTCATCAGTCATCTCTGTGATACTTTACTCTTGAAGAAAACATGATGTCAGTACTCTACCCTTGAAAAACATTGTGTATTTTTAAAGAAACTCCATCTGTAGACTTCTCAACATTTTACTCATTTGCAGTTCATTTCCTGTGCTGACTCACATGGAAAAAATTTTATTTTCCACACATTCCAAGCATATTACATGCAATTAATGCATTTCCATCTAAGTCAAATATAAGTAGTATAGCAAAAAAGCAAGCCACTTTGCTTTTAAAAATAGCTGACTTTAAAGTCAATCCTTTAAAGCTGTGTTTTAAAGAAATAGCTGCTTATTTCTAACAACTTCTTTGTATGTATCTTAGTGTTTCAAAAGTGTACTTAGCAGTTTCATTCCATGCTTACCTTTAATTCTGACACAGAATTTTGACCAACCACCTGTTTTGTTGACATACCTGTTGGAATATCTTTGCCTGGAAAGACGTGTTAGAGGGCCACAAACTTTCAGAAAGAATAAACAGAATTGTGGCCTGCAATGTCAAATATTAGTCAAAACCGGGTCCTTCTGGATCATGCCATCGCTGGCTTAGGTATCTGAGATATATACATTTATAATTGGTCTCAGGGCAATCAAGTTTCTGATTTGGATGCCTATTCTCCAGACCTTTGCAGCTCCGGAGGTAAATAACTCAATACCTGCCTTCTCAGGGAACTAACTAGGTTCCAGTCAGAGAAAACTGTAGAAAACAAACAAGCAAGCAGAAAAGATAAAACCAGTAATAAACCCCTAGCACAGTTTACTTCCAGTCTACAGTGCTTAAGCAGTGAAATTGTGCTGTCCCTTCAGTATTGACTCACCTACCATCCTCTGCTCTGGTTTAGCCAGTTGTTCTGGAGTTTCAAACAACCAACAAAGTGCCATGAATAATTTGTTCTGGCCACATCTTTTAAAAGCAGCCTGTATTTATTTATTTGCTCTGGCTACTAGAACTTTCAACCAGTTTTATCCCCAAAGCTGTAATGCAACATCCTCCGTAAAGCTAGGCTCGAAGTTGATAAATTGGCCCAGCTTTTCAAATGCAGGAATTAAGGAGAGAGAGAGATCTGGATGGGAGCTATGGTCTCCCAGTTTTGTTAGTCACTACATCTGAACCTCTTCTCTTAGACTATCAGTAACTGCAACTAATAAGTAATGGAAAAACTCTGTAGTTTGAGGAAGTGTTTATATAAC